GGTACCTACTTAAATATTATTATAGAACACAGAAAGAACGATCGCATTCGTAAAGGTACGATTTTTGTATCTCATACATTTTCTAAGGTTTTAATAAAATCACTGTAGCTCCCTTCAGGGGAGGAATTCTATTGGGTTCGAAATCAATTTCCAACTTCGTGCCTTTCCACCCCCACCCCCCGTCACGACTTCACGAGTTGGTAGTTGATGAGTTTTTTTCACAAAATATATTTTATTCGAAATGCCGACGTGCGCTCTTTCTGCAGCGCTGCATTCACACGGTAGCCACTGCCAAACTACATTATTATTATACATGTTACATGTATATATATATATTTTATAGAAATTAACCAGTTTAGAATAGAACCACAGACACCAATTTGTTCTAGTTTGGTAAATAAAATCTGTTGATTAATTTTGTCAAACGCTTTTGAAAAATCAGTGTAAATAACATCAACACTATTTCCAGTCATAAGCGCATCAGATAAGAAGTTTTGAAAAACAAGCAAATTAGTAGTGGTACTTTTTTTGCGCCGGAACCCATGCTGGTCGTCAACGATTACATTAGCTAAGACAGGTATGATTTTTTCAGCAACGATGGATTCGAAAACTTTAGGTATAATAGAAGGTATTGAGATTGGTCGGTAATTGGAGATATTAGATAGGTCAGATGATGATTTTGGTACAGGACGAATATCAGTAGTTTTCCACGCATCAGGAAAAGTACCAGTAGATAGTGACAGGTTAAATAGATATAGTAAAGGCGTAGAAAGAAAATAAGGACAGTTTTTAAAAAATATACTTGGAATTAAATCAGGTCCTGGGCATGAGCTAGGAGTAAGTGAGTTAAGTGAATTAAAAATATCAAGTAGATCAATTGTACATGAGTGCAAAGGAGATTGGAGTAATTTTGGTTGATTTTGCTGGTTGTAATTTAAATTAATATTATTGTTATTTTCATAAACACTAGAGAAGTATTTAGAAAAAGCATTGACAATATGGTTTGGATGAGAATCGAATTTTTCATTGTACAAATACATGCAATTTGGTAGGAAGTTAACTTTACGTTTATTATTTACAAATTTCCAAAAATTTTTAGGATATACCTTTAAGTTTTTTTGCAAGTTATTAATGTAGAGATAGTAATCAGATTTTAAGTAGAATTTACATTTAGCGCGAAGTTCTGAAAAAGATATGTAATCACTCACCAAACCGGTACTCTTATATAACTTATGAGCAATTTTTTTCTTAAATATTAAATCTTTTAAGTTTTTTGAAAACCAAATCGGTTAAGTTGAATGACTTTTAATTATTTTAGGAACAAATATATCAATAATTTCATAAATTATACAATAAAAAATATTTACAGCCTCATTAATGCATAAATTACTAAAAAGATTACACCAATTTACCGAAGCTAGAGTGAAATTAATATCAGAGTAGTTGCAGTTATAAAAATTATAAGTACATAAATTATAATCGATAGGTTTATTTATGGTAACGGGGAAAGAAATAAGTAAACCTGGATGATAGCTATCACAAGGAACAAGCGGATAATCTGACTTATTAACAGATACGTCAATAAAATCAGATAAAATTAAATCTAAAATTGAACCATTATTATTTAATAAATGATTAAATTGAAAAATATTTAAATAAGATAGTTTTAACAAAAATTCAGATTCTGTTAAGCTTAAGTTGGATAGACTGGGGGAAAAACCTATAGAACTAGGGAGCCAATGTAAATTCGGAAGATTATAATCACCAATCATAATTATATTTTTTACATATGGTAAACTAGAAAGTAGATTACTAATGATATCAAAATGAATAACATAATCATCGAAATCAGAACGAGGTGGAAAGTAAACATTACTTACAAGTATATAAGAAGTATCAATTTTAATTAATACAAATAAATGCTCCACAGGACAGGGGGTTACAGATAACATGCGAGAATAGTATTTATTATTTACAAATAGTAAAACACCACCGCGAACCACCTAGAACAGTTGCTTGTGTTTGAATTACGATCACAACGATGAGTAGTGTAGTTATTAAAACCTAATTCCGACGTAGTGATATTCGGCGATAACCAAGTTTCCGAAAGACCAATAATATCATAATCAGATAAACAAACATTGCGCATTAAAACATTTAATCTAGTATTTATACCACGGACATTTTGATAGTATAGATTCAAGTGTTCAGAAACTGGGCCGTTTACAAGTTTTATGAAATGGTTGGATATCTTTTAAGAATTTGAGAATATCATATTAATTTTATACTACTATTTGATTTTCTTCACTGGCGGAGTTTACATGAACTCAATTTTACCTGATTTTTTTCAGTGGCGGAGTTTACATGAATCCAATTTTACCTGTTTTTTTTCTGGCGGAGTTTACAGTAAAAAAAGGTATTTGTGGCGGAGTTTGATGTATTGTTAAAAAGCTGAAATGACACTTGCAGTCAGTTTTGTCTACCGAGTTCAGTTTGATAGTGAAAAAATAACACACGAGATTATAAGAATAATATAATATTACGTAATTCAACGTGTTGGTAATATACTGATTCGCTTACACATGAAACTCAATTATCAGTTTCCACTCCTCTCACACTATGTAACTATGGAAGTTGTCGTGCTTTTAATTGGCGTAAGGGCACAAAGCGAATAATTATAAAATATTTTGACCTAAATCGAGTTAAGGTTTTTGAACTTTTACTTTTTTTGTAATATAATAACAATATATACATAGATATCCATTATATTGTTAAAAAATATATAGACAAATAGTATTATTATGACGTAGGTATAGTTAGAAAAATACTACGCAAATTATTTTAGATAAATAAAATATAATTGATAATTATTTCCTGTAAATAATTATTATAATACAACTGAGGACGTAGGAATAAGTGACATGGAGGTACAATTTGTCTCGAGTATACGTATACCTCGTCATTGAGTATGTGTTAAATTAAAATTCAATGATACATTATGGTATAATATCGAAAACTGTTCTAAGCGTAAGCATAATAATTTAATAAGTTTATTTTATGAAATATTTATATTGCTATTAAAGTAATTTATATCACAATTAGTAATCATACGGTAGGTGGAATTCATTTTTGCTGAAAACATTGCCTTTGAAAATGTCATTGTGTGTACCTATATTGTAATCAAATAATGTGTTAAAAGTTTTAAGCACCCACGAAAAATACTTCTGAAGTACAATAAATAATAACTAAAAATCATTATTTTCCGTCTTAATATTAAGTTTCTTCCAAATTTTAACTTAAAATGTCTAAAATATTTTGTCGTATACTGGTTTTGATTAAAAATTCCCGTTTTTAATTTTTTTTTGAGAGGGGGGGGGGTGATCTTGTGGCTGCGCCATGTGATACAATATTATGCTTGTTGGAGTGTGTACTCATAATAATATAATATGTTATAAAATCACTTCATGAGTATACATCGATCGAATTCTATCTTTATAATCTTGTAAGTATGGTTAATGAGAAAAAATAAGTAAATCCAAATTTTTGTTTGTTTAAGTTTAATATTATGTGATTTCAGAGGATAATTTTTTTAAGGGGTTATCTTTTAGAGGTCATAGCCACTACAGCACAGATACTCCAGCTCCCTCAGTTGAGCTTATGTCGATAATCTATATCTATTGTTCATTATTATATTGATTATTTGCAGATTTTAGTTAAAAGTTAAAACTTATGAGGTAGGTATTAATATGACATAAATACGCATACATGGATTTTATATGGTATCTGGCTGCAATCGAATAAAATAATAATATCTTGGACCATAGGAATGAGATTTGTTTATTTAAATACCAATGTTGTAAAAATAAACTACGGATATTCACTATAAAACCGGGCACACGAGAGGAAAGACGCTGGCTGTGTTACAAATCATCGGGGAATGTCAGTGGAACTGAAAAGGAGCTTAACCAGACACATTGTATCAAGGATGAATAGAGGACTATAGCGGCGGGCTGTCGGACCAGGTCAGCCATGAGGCTGATGCCGGCGGGCCTTTGCGGTGACCAGGCTACGTTCTCGTTGGGACCTCGAAGGTGACTTAGCGCAGTGTACTACAACAATGTGGCCGAACGCGATTCAGCCGGCGGAGTAGGATGATGCGAGCTCAACGGCGATAAACATAAAACATGGCATGCAGCGGCACATGCAGCAGCAGCCGCCGACAGAGGATCAGGATCAGCGGAGCGAGTTTATAAATGAGCCTACGCCGAAGGACCGTGCACTGGAAATGCATGCTGCCGCGTCCACTGGAAATCGGCCCACCCGTGTTTGTTCTGAGCTTGCGAAAGCGGCCGGGCGAATCGGACGAAAAAGCCAGGTTACAGATCGAAGTGCGTGTGCCGAGTAAGTTTCGGAACCGCAGAAATGGTGACATGATCGATGGGGAACAAAATGACGGTGAAACTGAAGGGAATAAGAATTGACTTGGTAAATCCAAGGCAGTAAGCTTATAGAAGCGTTACAACAAATGTAACGATTTTACCACAATACATGGTACCTAATAGAATATCTATATTTTAAGTAAGAACCTGTACAGTAGTATGAATTGAATTTTTAATGAGTGTTACTTTTTTTTTATAGAATATAATATAACAAAATGTCGAAGAATCGTGGAAAAATTAAAATGTTTAATTTCGTTTCATTATTTTCAGCATACAAATCTAACCTCCAAGTTTCCAGTAATATGCTCTAGATGGCAGTCTCGAAGCCTTGTCACGTTTCTATTGTAGCCGCCACCTTCACACTTCTTATTCATTAATCAGTTTCACAGTCACCAAGTTCCTTCAGTCACCATTTTCCGGTCAGATGCACTCGACACGTCTCTCCGATCTGCAGCCAAAAGCTTTCTAGTCCGAACCGCCCAGCTGACCGCACAGAACGAACACGGGCCGGTTTCCAGGACGCGGGCACCGTTTTCGGTGGTCCTTCGGCAAAAGCCGATCTTAAGACTCGTCTATATAGCTGATCCTGCTCCTGGTCCTGTGGCTGCTGCCGCTGCGTGCCATGATCGCCGTCGAGCACCAACATCCTCTTGAGTGCTGCCGGCTGAATCTCAGTCGGTCGTGAGTTGTAGTACACTGTGCCGTATCGTCGAGGCCCGACGAGAAGCACCCTGCAGGCTCGGTCACCGCAGACTTCCTGGTCTGACAGTCTCCGCAAATCCTCTTTTTTTGTCCTTGGTACAGTATATGTCTGAGATCATGGGAATTCGCTGATTTGAGCGCACCAGCGTGTCTGCCTTCAAATATTTGTCCGGTTTCTTCTAGACGAGCTAAAATATTAGAATGAAAATAAAGAAAATTGTATGATATTTATAATATTATTTTTTATTCTGTTCTAAAGTGTAATAATATATGCTTACAATGTTAATAAAAAAACTAAATAGAATAATATTGTTTATATTATTTTTTTTTTTTTATTCATAATTTATAATATTAATACATGCAATCCAGCACATTCCGTTATAACCGTATTACTTTAATCCGGTTTTCGCAACAAACAACAAACATCTATACATTTTTGAGAACATTTTGATTTATTGTTTTTCTTTTAAGAGCAAAACATCATATAGTGCTCACGGATTTGGTAATCTTAATAACTATGTAGAATTGATTGTGCTATTTTAATGATACCCAATAATAATATACTTACAACTTATACATTATACAACATCAAATCTGTTACATTTAGTTTGTAGCATCGTCAAACCATATGTTGGCGGAAAAAAATCAAGAATAAATAAATTTTAACTGGTATGACGGTAGAAAAGTGTTTTGAAAGTTCGTTTGTATTTCATAGAGTTTAAAGCAGAGAGATTGAATTTTGACCGTCCAAACCAAATGTATATTTTCATGTGAACGACGAACTCCTCGTTGACACAAAAAAAACTCGACTTTGTTGAATTTTTTTCCATATAGGTCGTATATTGACACTTGTAGATTGATATTTGACGTAAATTTTACTTTATATTGAATTTTGCGGTTTAAGTAATTCTGAGACAACTGATTACGATAGCTCATTGCTTAATTTAATAAAACAATAACATTGAATTAATATTATTTCTCTTTATTCGCTAGTTCATAATCGAATATTAATATTGAACGGCTACGACGCGTACGTTACACTGGTACGGTTTTATTGCGACTGCGACGGCCGATCGCCCGTCATCGAAGACCGCTCTATCGGACGTATCTTATCTTACATTTATACTCAGATACTCTATACAAATAATCGTTTCGGTATCTACCAATTTTATTATATAAGTAAAATATCTCGCGTACGCAACATAGCCGCCCACCTTGAAATATAAATAATATTTCAACAAATTGAACAATAAAAATTACAAATTCGATAATAGAATAATTAACATACATTACAAATAATTTATAAAAAAAAAGAATAAACAAAATATAATAAATTGACTAATAACAACAACCTGATACGGTAATAGTTGAACAAATATAATTTAATGTTACTGAATAAATAAATAATTAAAACATATAAAAGATTTTTATTTAATATTGATTGTTGTCGATTGGTAGCGGACAAAGTAGACGAGCTGCCCTTGTAATTTCCCCAAATTTCGTCTTTACGGACGCCGACCGACTTATTCCGTCCCTTCCTGCATGGATTTGGAGGACCCGACCGAGACGCCACTGCAAAGGGGGCAAATTTGTGTCTCGTATTAACACCACAGATCCTATCTTTAAATTTGGCCCCTTTGATTGAGTCCATTTTACACGCTCCTGTAGTTGACCCAGATACTCTGTACTCCAGCGCTTCCAAAGTAGTTGTGAATATTGGGTAACCTTTCTCCAACGCTCCAACGGCGTCACGGAAGTAGCCGTTTCATCCCTTTCGGGTACGGCGGTAATAGCATCACCGATTAAAAAATGACCAGGCGTTAAATAGGAAAGATCGGATGGGTCGGAAGACAGGGAGGTAATGGGACGAGAATTTAAGCATGCTTCTAACCGAGTCAGTACAGTACTCATATCTTCGTAAGTTAAGCGAGATTCACCTAACACCTTAGATAACAAATTCTTCATCGACTTAACCGCCGCCTCCCACAGGCCACCGAAATGTGGAGATCGTGGTGGTATTAACTTCCACTCCACCCCTTTCTCCGCGAATGTTGCACAAACTGTGTTTTGATGTTGATCGGATTGAAATAAATTATATACATCTCGAAGCTGTCTGCGAGCGCCCACGAAGTTTGTCGCGTTGTCCGAGTATATGACCGCGCACCTTCCGCGACGGTCGAAAAACCGGTTTAACGTTTGCAAAAACGTCTTTGTCGTTAGATCACTGACTAATTCTATGTGTATCGCTTTAGTAGCAAAACACACAAATATAGATATATAGCCTTTATCGCACGGCGCGTTTCGCCGTAAACTTGACTTTATCAGTATGGGACCGGCAAAATCGACTCCACATCGCGAGAATGGCCGGCTGCACGTAATTCGATCGCGTGGTAAGTTACCCATTATTGGCTGTACTATTATAGGTTTTTGTTTAAAACACGTAATGCAACTATGCACAATCTTCCGTGCTATACTGCGTGCTCCTAAGGGCCAATATCGTTGCCGAATGGCTGCCACGAGGGCCTGTGGACCACTATGCAATAAATTTACGTGCTCACTTTGAAATAATAATCGCGTATATGTACTGTCACGAGGAAGCACAATTGGGTGTCGCTGAAATTCACTTAACTCAATTGCATTTGCCAAACGTCCTCCTACGCGTAATAGACCTTTCTCGTCACAAAAGGGTCGTAATCGTATCAGCACACTATTGCCAGCTACTTGCGCCTTCTGTGATTTAAGTTCATTTATTTCTTTTTGGAAATGTTTTTTTTGTATCATTTTAATTAACGCCAAATTTGCGTATTCTAATTCATTTACGTCTAACGGCCCGATGACACGTTTTGTGCGACTCTTTAGTCCGTTATTTCGCCAACGTAAACAATACGCCGTTATTCGGATAATCTGTTTTAATGACGAACGAGTAGTCAACAGTGGAAAATCCAATGATAACGTACATATGAGATTATGCGTATTTGACATTGTGTGACTCCTTTCTTCGGGCATTTTTTCTACTTCGGATTTATCAACATTTGTCGGTTTCGGCCACATACTGGCGTCTTTAATTAACCATTCCGGGCCGCACCACCAAATTGATTTTTTTTCGATGTCCTCGGCATTGCACCCGCGCGAAATTACGTCCGCCGGGTTGTCGTGAGTGGGGACGTGTGACAATTCGTTGCACGCGGTTAACTCTTGTATTTCGCCAACGCGGTGTGCGACAAATGTCTTCCATCGACCTGATGGTGACGTTATCCAAGCCAAGACCACTTTAGAAT